ATGTGGCTAGTGGTTTTCCAAAATTAGCCACGCAGCATTTTTACTAGCCACATTTTTGTTGTTGGAAAATTACGTTTTATAAGATTAAAGTTGACAATGGGCCTTAAAACGTGCTAAAATGTACTAATATTATCATTAGCTCTGATAAGGTTGTAAAGCTCCTTTTTTTGAAAACATGTTGTCTAAGATTAACACATAGCCTAAAATAGCTTCTTATTGTATAAAAGTGCTGCATCGTTTTTTTGTTTGTTTTTTACAGCAGTAGCCTACATACTGACTGTAATACAGAATAGAACAATTATCTGCATGAAACAACGAGCAAAGAATAAATTATTTTTTCTAAGAAAAAATCCACAATTAGGCAACAGGATTACAACTTTATATAGGCCCATATGACAGTTTTGGGGACTTTGGATTTTGTTTTGCATCAGCATTTCCTCAGAACTCTGAGTAACTGGAGATATGTCCACCTGAAACAAGTCCTACAGGTCTTTATTTTCCAAATTATTCCCACAAACGCATCTCCTGCTTTCTTTCATGGCATTATTAATTTTATTAAAACATATAATTAACTCTGGAAAGATAGTTGTGATATGACGTGACATAAGGGCAGCCCTGCTAGTTACACCGTGTCCCTCTTAATCATGAAGATTTTTTTTCTTTAACGGCCACGCACACTCACGAACTGACTGAACGCTGTGTTGATGTGTGTGTGCATGCGACCAGCCGCGTGTGATGATCGTTTCGTTTGACAAAAGTCTGGTGGATGTCATATTTGGAGAGCGTGAGACGCGCCTGTGGTCTGGATTCTCCTGCTATTAAAAAGGATCGCTATATCATCATATCAAGTTGATAATTAAGGGCAGACTAAAACAGCCCTCAGTCCGACGGCCAGTCCAGTCCGCGAGTTTAATCTCCGCGTGTCTTCTTGTTTACAGTGTTGTCGTTCAAGAGGATTCACGAATGGACCAATGAGCAAACACTAGACTATGTGCAGGTAGTACTCATGGGAGTTGCAGTGTCGTAGTGTCGAATTGCAATTCGTTTGTTATGTCTGATGTCTTTTGACAAGACTACAATTTTTCAACACGCCAAAGTGGCTATTGGGAGTGACTGTGTTACCCGCCACGGGTGAAATCCACCCGCATTTGGCGGGTTGGCGGGTGTTAATGTCAAGCCCTGGGTACAACTTTCTACAGTGAAAAAATCACTCAGCATTCAGTGATATGGCTTCTCTGTGTCTGTATAACAGAAAAGCCAGGAGTGTGTCCAAGCACAAAATATGAAGCAGAAGTGTGTGCCTGGATACGTTTTGTGTCGTGTGCCGATGACAGTGACTGTGCCAACAATGAGAAATGCTGCAGCAATGGATGTGGACCTCAGTGTATGGCTCCAGTTACAGGTATAATATAATGTTTTATTATATTACATTAAATTACATTATTATTTAGTGCTGACAATCGATAAAACAAATGAACTAATTAATCACACATTTTTCAGTCAAGAGCAGTGAATGATTTTCTCTCTTTTGTTTATTAACTAATGTTAATGACAGACATCACAGCAGCAGGTTTGTTAGGCTGCTGTCACTTTAAGTACTGCCACTACTGCCCTGCGTTGTCTTTTGTGTCTTATCGTACTTAAATGTTTTAAAAGCATTTGCATGAATGAGAGCGTGATCATATATTGTAAAGCTAACCAAAGGATGATGGGAGAAAAAATGGATGCTACGTGATTTGCGTTAAATATTTTTAACGATTAAACTGAAAATATGAATCGCATACTTTAACGTGTTAATTTGTGCTTTAAGTGGGCCGGTAGCCTACGCACTGGTACTCAGTACCGCCACTTCCAAATATAGCTCTTGAGCGTACCGCCACCTCTCCGTGCGCCCAGAACGTGCTTTTAGCGTACCGGTACGCTCATTTGCACATCTGTTTTAATCCTTTGGCTGCGCTGCCGCTTTTCAAAGCTCCCTTCACAATGCACGCCTCCTAATTCGTCCCACCGAGAGCAGAGACTACATTACCTATACACCCTTGAGTAATGTACAAGTGAAAAGCGCATGCGTCGCTTTTGCCGCTGTCAGTGTTAGCTGCTCGGTTAAAATACAAATAGAGCATCACAGTGCGTGTCGTGTAACTGTCTGGTTAAACCCCGCGAAGGTCCGTGAAGACTGAAGATCGTGTAATGACGTAGGGCTAGCTCATTGGTCGCACGTCAGAGGCTCCCGCGCCAATGGATGTACAGTTGCCGCAGTACAGCCTATTAGCGAGCCAGATGCTCAATGTGTTTTACATATAAGCTTCATTAAATCAGAAAAGGAGTTTCCCTGCACATTCACTATATAAAATTCACTGGAGGAAAAGTGAGGTGCGGTGGTTTATGGGATGAGTAGTTCCTTCGCTCGGAAATGAAAATATGTACACTGTCTTGTACCTTTGATTTTATTTGGATTTTCTCTTCGTTTTTTCACTCAAAATGATATGTTGTATGCTTATGAGTTCAGCCGTAGCTGGTTATCCTCAGACATGCTCTAAAACTCTTTAGATACGGTTTTTCCAAAACGACAATGGGAGAAATGAATAGGAAATTTACTTCCGGCACCGAAGCTCTCTCGGGCTGTGGGCGGGACTGTGATGCTCTATACCCCAGACAATAACATTTAATTTTGTAACAGAATAAAAGTTTTTTTTTTTTTTTTTTTACAAATGTCATTTTACTCTGTTTATTAATGTTTTTACTCAACATTTGTGCAGTTTTTGGAGGATTTATGATATCTTTTAAATTTCTATAAGTAAATAAATATTTATTTAAATAGGCTTTTTACAAAAAAAAACAGCATTTTATGTCAAATTCACTTTATAAAATTCACTTTTTAAAATGGTTTAATGTAAGATTTTTGGCCATTTTTTGGAAAATGCTGTTTTAAAATAAAATAAAAATCACTTTAACCACTAGATGGCTATAGAGCTTCACTATAGCTATTTGCTATTTGACTAATCAAAATATATCTTTTCACAAGTTTTTCCAGTTGGATTCATATCCACATTTGGTACATTTTATTTATGTTCATAGCTCTTTCTACTGTAGCTCTTTCTAAGGGTATTTTTTCAATACCATTTTGCACATTTTATTTATGTTTAGAAGCTCTTTCTAGCTAAAGCAAATCTACAAACTAATAAAAGGATTTTTTTTGTTTTTTAAGGTTGTCTGTTGACTGCTGTTTATATAAAACCCCTTCAATATAGTTGTTGTTACCTCAGGGGAGGAGGGGAGTCAGCAATAAATAAATAAATAATAATAATAGAGTACCGCCACCTCTTTTGGGCCACTTAAAGCACCCTAATTATATTATACAATACAATACAATTTTATTTGTATAGCACGTTTAAAAACAACTGGTGTTGACCAAAGTGCTTTACAAAAGCCAAGGAAAAAAACAATAAGATAAAAAAACACATAAAACAGTAAAGCAAAGTAAAGAACAATAAAAATGGAAAATCAATTAACTAAAGGGAAAAAAAGTGTATATTATATTATATTATACTACGTGGCTGTTGAATGCTTAAATCTGATTGGTAGATGAAGATACTAAGGTGCGCAGTTATTTTCAGGGAAACGCTCAAGTAGTTCCAGGCAGGTCTTGACCACATTACGTACATGTCCATATCACTTCGCCAAATGATTTCAGTTATTTCAAAGGTCCTTACAACCTACAACAACAAAAGAACCAAAACCCACGACGAATAAAACATGAAATTTTAAAGTAGAAAGACTCAAATAGTTCTTTCTAGTAAAACAAATTCCAATAATATATGGATACAACTTTCTGCAGTGAAAAATTCATTCAGCATTCAGTGATATGGCTTCTCTGTCATGTGTCTGTATAACAGCTAAGCCAGGAGTGTGTCCAAAGACAAAGAGTGAATTGGTAAAGTGTATCATGATCGGTAAAGAGTTGTGTGCCGATGACAGTGAGTGTCCCAAAAATGAGAAATGCTGCGGCACTGCATGCGGTGGAACTCAGTGTACGGCTCCAGTTACAGGTATTATATTATATTATATTATATTATATTATATTATATTATATTATATTATATTATATTATATTATATTATATTATATTGTATTGTATTGTATTGTATTATAATATATAGTGCTGTCAATCGATAAAAAAAAATTAATCACACATTTTTCTGTAATTAATCACGATTAATCGCACCTAACATTGAAGTACTTTATATATTTTTATATTGTAAAAATTTCACACTTAATAATCACCAAATTAATGTAGACACAACATAAAGACAGTAGCCAATATTGGAAACATTTGTTTAATGGCATCTTTTTATTAAAAAAAGGCCCTTAATTTTAGCCATTAATTACAGGCATTCAGCATTACAGTATCATTGAAATCTATCAAATTTAAATGGCAGGTCTTGACCACATTACGTACATGTCCATATCACTTCACCAAATGATTTCAGTTATTTCAAAGGTCCTTACAACCTACAACAGCAAAAGCACCAAAACCCATGACGAATAAAACTGAAATTTTAAAGTAGAAAGACTGAAATAGTTCCCTTTCAGCCGAGAACGTCAGAAGTAGTCGACGTCGACTGACTGGGGCTCCCTGGCGTGATCCCGCCATTCAGTCGACGTCGACTACGTCCTCCGTTCCCTCCTTCAGGGAACAGTGGGTTGCATACGCAACCAGGACGTTCTTTCTAGTAAAACATTTTTTTTATTTTTTTTTTTATTTATAATGCACTTTACATTTCAAAGAAATCTCAAAGTGCAACAGTAGCAAAGAAGTTAAGAACAATTTCCAGAATATAACAAAATCAACCAGTAGCAATAAAACACCTTAAAAGAAATAAAATAAAAATAAAATTGATATTCCAATAACATATGGGTACAACTTCCAAAATTATTTTTTTCTACAGTGAAAAATTCATTCAGTGATATGGCTTCTCTGTCATGTGTCTGTATAACAGTAAAGCCAGGAGTGTGTCCAAAGACAAACAGTGAAATAAGGTGTATCAAGAAGGATGAAGAGTTGTGTGCCGATGACAGTGAGTGTCCCAAAAATCTGAAATGCTGCAGAACTGCATGCGGTGGAACTCAGTGTACGGCTCCAGTTACAGGTATTATATTATATTATATTATATTATATTATATTATATTATATTATATTATATTATATTATATTATATTATATTATATTATATATATATTATATTATATATATATTATATTATATCATATCATATCATATCGTATTGTATTATAAAATATAGTGCTGTCAATCGATAAAAGAAAACCTCATTAATCACACATTTTTCTGTAATTAATCGCAATTAATCGTTCTTTAAAAAGTTCTTAATATATTTTTATATTGTAATAATTTCACATTTAATGTCCAAATGAATGCAGACACAACATAAAGAAAGTAGCAAATATTTTAAACATTTGTATGATGTTATCTTTTTTTATAAAAGCCATTAAATATAGGCACAGAGTATAATTGAAATCTATCAAATTTAACATTTATTAGGCTTTAAAAAATATAACAACTTTTAAGTTAGGTGAACTTAAAACAATATTCACATAAACCCATTATAATGAATGTCACATTTACCAGCCCTTCAATATATCAGAGCTCAATTTTTTTATATCGGCCCAGTCAGACCAGCTTAGATTTTTACTTGCCCTGCTAAAATGCACAAAAATGTATTGTTTTCGTTGTTTTTGATCCATGCAACCTTGTAAACAGTGCTTTAAGATTTTCAGGTAGCTCTAACACGTAGGATATATAGAAATTGAATAAAGGTATTAAACACTTCACAGTCTTCACTGCATAAATTATAAATTAAATATAGATTATTCCTTATTAAAGCTACAAAAGTTATTCAGTCAAGAGCAGTGAATGATTTTCTCTCTTTTGTTTGTTAACTAATGTTAATGACAGACATCACAGCAGCAGGTTTGTTAGGCTGCTGTCACTTTAAGTACTGCCACTACTGCCCTGCGTTGTCTTTTGTGTCTTATCGTACTTAAATGTTTTAAAAGCATTTGCATGAATGAGAGCGTGATCATATATTGTAAAGCTAACCAAAGGATGATGGGAGAAAAAATGGATGCTACGTGATTTGCGTTAAATATTTTTAACGATTAAACTGAAAATATTAATCGCATAATTTAACGTGTTAATTTTGACAGCCCTAATTATATTATACAATACAATACAATTTTATTTGTATAGCACGTTTAAAAACAACTGGTGTTGACCAAAGTGCTTTACAAAAGCCAAGGAAAAAAACAATAAGATAAAAAAACACATAAAACAGTAAAGCACAATAAAAATGGAAAACCTATGAACTAAGGGGGAAAAAAGTGTATATATTATATTATATTATATTATATTATACTACGTGGCTGTTGAATGCTTAAATCTGATTGGTAGATGAAGATACTAAGGTGCGCAGTTATTTTCAGGGAAACACTAAAGTAGTTCCAGGCAGGTCTTGACCACATTATGTACATGTCCATATCACTTCACCAAATGATTTCAGTTATTTCAAAGGTCCTTACAACCTACAACAACAAAAGGACCAAAACCCACGACGAATAAAACATGAAATTTTAAAGTAGAAAGACTGAAATAGTTCTTTCTAGTAAAATGTATTCCAATGATATATAGGTACAACTTTCTACAGCGAAAAATTCATTCAGCATTCAGTGATATGGCTTCTCTGTCATGTGTCTGTATAACAGCAAAGCCAGGAGTGTGTCCGAAGACAAAGAGTGAATTGGTAAAGTGTATCATGATCGGTAAAGCGTTGTGTGCCGATGACAGTGAGTGTCCCAAAAATCAGAAATGCTGCGGCACTGCATGCGGTGGAACTCAGTGTACGGCTCCAGTTACAGGTACTATATCATATTATATTGTATTGTATTGTATTGTATTGTATTGTAATATATAGTGCTGCCAATCGATTAAAAAAAACAACTAATTACTCACACACACATTTCTCTGTAATTAATTGTGATTAATCGCACCTAACTTTCAAGTACTTTATATATTTTTATATTGTAATAATTTCACACTTAATCTCCAAATTAATGTAGACACAACATAAAGACAGTAGCCAATATTGGAAACATTTGTTTAATGGCATCTTTTTATTTTAAAAAAGGCCATTAATTTTAGCCATTAATTACAGGCATTCAGCATTACAGTATCATTGAAATCTATCAAATTTAAATGGCAGGTCTTGACCACATTATGTACATGTCCATATCACTTCACCAAATGATTTCAGTTATTTCAAAGGTCCTTACAGCCTACAACAGCAAAAGCACCAAAACCCACGACGAATAAAACATGAAATTTAAAAGTAGAAAGACTGAAATAGTTCTTTCTAGTAAAATGTATTCCAATGATATATAGGTACAACTTTCTACAGCGAAAAAATCATTCAGCATTCAGTGATATGGCTTCTCTGTCATGTGTCTGTATAACAGCTAAGCCAGGAGTGTGTCCAAAGACAAACGCTGAAGTGATGTGTAAAAAGAAGGGTGAAGAGTTGTGTGCCGATGACAGTGAGTGTCCCAAAAATCTGAAATGCTGCAGAACTGCATGCGATGGAACTCAGTGTACGGCTCCAGTTACAGGTATTATATTATATTATATTATATTATATTATATTATATTATATTATATTATATTATATTATATTATATTATATTATATCATATCATATCATATCATATCATATTGTATTGTATTGTATTGTATTGTAATATATAGTGCTGTCAATCGATAAAAAAAACAACTAATTACTCACACACACATTTTTCTGTAATTAATCGTGATTAATCGCACCTAACTTTCAAGTACTTTATATATTTTTATATTGTAATAATTTCACACTTAATCTCCAAATTAATGTAGACACAACATAAAGACAGTAGCCAATATTGGAAACATTTGTTTAATGGCATCTTTTATATTAAAAAAGGCCATTAATTTTAGCCATTAATTACAGGCATTCAGCATTACAGTATCATTGAAATCTATCAAATTTAAATGGCAGGTCTTGACCACATTATGTACATGTCCATATCACTTCACCAAATGATTTCAGTTATTTCAAAGGTCCTTACAACAGCAAAAGCACCAAAACCCACGACGAATAAAACTGAAATTTTAAAGTAGAGAGACTGAAATAGTTCCCTTTCAGCCGAGAACGTCAGAAGTAGTCGACGTCGACTGACTGGGGCTCCCTGGTGTGATCCCGCCATTCAGTCGACGTCGACTACGTCCTCCGTTCCCTCCTTCAGGGAACAGTGGGTTGCATACGCAACCAGGACGTTCTTTCTAGTAAAACATATTCCAATAACATATGGGTACAACTTCCAAAATTATTTTTTTCTACAGTGAAAAATTAATTCAGCATTCAGTGATATGGCTTCTCTGTCATGTGTCTGTATAACAGCAAAACCAGGAGTGTGTCCAAAGACAAAGAGTGAATTGGTAAAGTGTGTCAAGAAGGGTGAAGAGTTGTGTGCCGATGACAGTGAGTGTCCCAAAAATCTGAAATGCTGCAGAACTGCATGCGGTGGAACTCAGTGTACGGCTCCAGTTACAGGTATTATATCATATTCTATTGTATTGTATTATATTATATTATATTATACTACGTGGCTGTTGAATGCTTAAATCTGATTGGTTGATGAAGATACTAAGGTGTGCAGTTATTTTCAGGGAAACACTAAAGTAGTTCCAGGCAGGTCTTGACCACATTACATGTCCATATCACTTCACCAAATGATTTCAGTTATTTCAAAGGTCCTTACAACCTACAACAACAAAAGAACCAAAACCCACGACAAATAAAACATGAAATTTGAAAGTAGAAAGACTGAAATAGTTCTTTCTAGTAAAACGTATTCCAATAATATATAAGTTCAACTTTCTACAGTGAAAAATTCATTCAGCATTCAGTGATATGGCTTCTCTGTCATGTGTCTGTATAACAGCTAAGCCAGGAGTGTGTCCGAAGACAAAGAGTGAATTGGTAAAGTGTATCATGATCGGTAAAGCGTTGTGTGCCGGTGACAGTGAGTGTCCCAAAAATCTGAAATGCTGCGGCACTGCATGCGGTGGAACTCAGTGTACGGCTCCAGTTACAGGTACTATATCATATTATATTATATTATATTATATTATATTATATTATATTATATTATATTATATTATATTATATTGTATTGTATTGTATTGTATTGTATTATAATATATAGTGCTGTCAATCGATAAAAAAAACAACTAATTCATCACACATTTTTCTGTAATTAATCGTGATTAATCGCACCTAACATTGAAGTACTTTATATATTTTTATATTGTAATAATTTCACACTTAATCTCCAAATTAATGTAGACACAACATAAAGACAGTAGCCAATATTGGAAACATTTGTTTAATGGCATCTTTTTATTTAAAAAAAGACCATTAATTTTAGCCATTAATTACAGGCATTCAGCATTACAGTATCATTGAAATCTATCAAATTTAAATGGCAGGTCTTGACCACATTATGTACATGTCCATATCACTTCACCAAATGATTTCAGTTATTTCAAAGGTCCTTACAGCCTACAACAGCAAAAGCACCAAAACCCACGACGAATAAAACATGAAATTTAAAAGTAGAAAGACTGAAATAGTTCTTTCTAGTAAAATGTATTCCAATGATATATAGGTACAACTTTCTACAGAGAAAAAATCATTCAGCATTCAGTGATATGGCTTCTCTGTCATGTGTCTGTATAACAGCTAAGCCAGGAGTGTGTCCAAAGACAAACGCTGAAGTGATGTGTAAAAAGAAGGGTGAAGAGTTGTGTGCCGATGACAGTGAGTGTCCCAAAAATCTGAAATGCTGCAGAACTGCATGCGATGGAACTCAGTGTACGGCTCCAGTTACAGGTATTATATTATATTATATTATATTATATTATATTATATTATATTATATTATATTATATTATATTATATTATATTATATTATATCATATCATATCATATCATATCATATTGTATTGTAATATATAGTGCTGTCAATCGATAAAAAAAACAACTAATTACTCACACACACATTTTTCTGTAATTAATCGTGATTAATCGCACCTAACTTTCAAGTACTTTATATATTTTTATATTGTAATAATTTCACACTTAATCTCCAAATTAATGTAGACACAACATAAAGACAGTAGCCAATATTGGAAACATTTGTTTAATGGCATCTTTTATATTAAAAAAGGCCATTAATTTTAGCCATTAATTACAGGCATTCAGCATTACAGTATCATTGAAATCTATCAAATTTAAATGGCAGGTCTTGACCACATTATGTACATGTCCATATCACTTCACCAAATGATTTCAGTTATTTCAAAGGTCCTTACAACAGCAAAAGCACCAAAACCCACGACGAATAAAACTGAAATTTTAAAGTAGAGAGACTGAAATAGTTATCTTTCAGCCGAGAACGTCAGAAGTAGTCGACGTCGACTGACTGGGGCTCCCTGGTGTGATCCCGCCATTCAGTCGACGTCGACTACGTCCTCCGTTCCCTCCTTCAGGGAACAGTGGGTTGCATACGCAACCAGGACGTTCTTTCTAGTAAAACATATTCCAATAACATATGGGTACAACTTCCAAAATTATTTTTTTCTACAGTGAAAAATTAATTCAGCATTCAGTGATATGGCTTCTCTGTCATGTGTCTGTATAACAGCAAAACCAGGAGTGTGTCCAAAGACAAAGAGTGAATTGGTAAAGTGTGTCAAGAAGGGTGAAGAGTTGTGTGCCGATGACAGTGAGTGTCCCAAAAATCTGAAATGCTGCAGAACTGCATGCGGTGGAACTCAGTGTACGGCTCCAGTTACAGGTATTATATCATATTATATTGTATTTTATTATATTATATTATATTATACTACGTGGCTGTTGAATGCTTAAATCTGATTGGTTGATGAAGATACTAAGGTGTGCAGTTATTTTCAGGGAAACACTAAAGTAGTTCCAGGCAGGTCTTGACCACATTACATGTCCATATCACTTCACCAAATGATTTCAGTTATTTCAAAGGTCCTTACAACCTACAACAACAAAATAACCAAAACCCACGACAAATAAAACATGAAAGTAGAAAGACTGAAATAGTTCTTTCTAGTAAAACGTATTCCAATAATATATAAGTTCAACTTTCTACAGTGAAAAATTCATTCAGCATTCAGTGATATGGCTTCTCTGTCATGTGTCTGTATAACAGCTAAGCCAGGAGTGTGTCCGAAGACAAAGAGTGAATTGGTAAAGTGTATCATGATCGGTAAAGAGTTGTGTGCCAATGACAGTAAGTGTCCCAAAAATCAGAAATGCTGCGGCACTGCATGCGGTGGAACTCAGTGTACGGCTCCAGTTACAGGTATTATATTATATCATATTGTATTGTATTGTATTGCATTATTATAGTGCTGTCAATCGATACAAAAAAAAAAACGAATTAATCACACATTTTTCTGTCATTAATCGCGATTAATCATTCTTTATAGAAATGATTAGACACAACATAAAGTAGCAAATATTTTAAACATTTGTATAATGGCATCTTTTTATAAAAAGCCATTAAATATAGGCACATAGAGTATAATTGAAATCTATCAAATTGAACATTTATTAGGCTTTAAAAAATATAACATATTTTAAGTTAAGTGAACTTAAAACAATCTTCATATAAACCCATTATAATGAATGTCACATTTACCAGCCCTTCAATATATCAGAGCTCAATTTTTTTATATCGGCCCAGTCAGACCAGCTTAGATTTTTACTTGCCCTGCTAAAATGCACAAAAAGTTATTGTAACATAAATGATATAGCAAATAGATCAACCCTTATTAAAGTTACAAAAGTTATTCAGTCAAGAGCAGTGAATGATTTTCTCTTTCTCTTTTGTTCTTTAATTAACATTAATGACAGACATCACAGCAGCAGGTTTGTTAGGCTGCTGTCACTTTAAGACCTGACGCACATGATGCAGATGACACACATCCCAACTCTTTACTTCATTTAAGACTTCACTGAACTCATTTAAGACTGTGCTTGCGATGGTACTTGACAAAACGGCCATTTTGGCGTAATTTTGTGTTTTTGTCGTTCAAGCACTGTTTGAAGCAGCTTAATTTCTGTGCGCACGAGTGTGTGTGTGTGTGTGTGTGTCACACAGACAGGAGATTCACAGACGTGCGCCAGTACCGCACTGCATTCTCTTTTGTGTATTATCGCGCTTGAATGGTTTAAAAGCATTTGCATGAATAAGGGCGTGATCATATATTATAAAGCTAGCCAAAGGATGAAGGTAAAAGAAAATGGATCCTGGATTTAATAAACTGAAAATGTTAATTGCATGTTAACGTGTTAATTTTGACACCCTTAATTATATTATATTTTATTATATGTGACCCCGGACCACAAAACCAGTCACATGGGTAATTTTTTTTTTAATTGAGATTTATACATCATGAAAGCTGAATAATTTCCAAAGGCTTTCCATTGATGTATGGTTTGTTAGGATAGGACAATATTTGGCTGAGATACGATTATTTGAAAATCTGGAATCTGCCTTTTAAGTCAGCAGCAGCATGTAAATGTCTGTTGAGAGAATAATGTTTGAAATCATCCTACCCTTTAATCGCATTGCAATAGTTATACTTTGTTCCCTGTATTTATTAGCACAGTCTACAGCAGCGGCGGAGTGATATTAAGTTACCTAGGCAACCGAGAGAGGTAGTGAGAGAGAGAGGTAGTACAGGTAGTCCCGACTCATATGGTCCCGACTGTAGTGCGCTTCTGGTCTGTGTTTACTTTTCGGCTCCACTGATAAATAACACCCAGGCTAACTTGAAAATTAGGTCCAATGTCCAAAATCCTGAACCACCCCTTTAATGTCACTAAATGGCCAGACTAAATCTGAATCTCTATCCATACAGGCTTGGTGCCCTACGGAAGCGAATCCAGTGTGTGCCGAATATTGTTCCCATGATGGTCAGTGCCCTGCCGGACAGAAATGCTGCTCAACCACCTGTGATCATGCATGCAGTGAAACTGTGCCGATTTAACCACCGGAAAGAGTTGTGGGAATGATTTAGCATAATACATATTTGAATTATTTTACTTAAATCAAATCAATACTTCTTTTTTTTTCTTGCAGGCTTAACATTTGTACGCTTTTGAGAACAAAATGTGCCAACACTTTAGCCAAAATTAGTGTGTTGAAATAACGGATGCATATGGACATGGCTAAATGGCTAACTAAATATAATAACCCCATGTCCTAAGGAACAAGCTGAAGTAATCAAAAAAACTCATGTTTCTGGTGTTTCTGAATTGCACATACATAGAACTAATTATATTAGAGAAAGATGATGTAACGAGTCATGTTAAATTTGCCATGTACCTATCCCTAAACTGTTGTATCATTTTTGCCGGTGGGATTCTCTGTGATTGATATGAGGTCCTTCCGGCCACGATTAAAGCATATTCAAAGGCATCATTTGGAGTCTTTCTGTCAGGCTAGACACTAGAGAATGATCTTACTTCTATTCTCAAGTGATAGTGTTAAGTGGAACAAGTGGAGAGATGTCTAGTAGAATACAAATCTGTAGGTGTCTAAAAGCAGGCACCAGTTTAATTTAAGTCAGGTCCATAGGGGAATTTCGACCACTATATGTATAGGCCTATACATTATTGATTTTTAGTAGCCCTGGCAGCTACAAATCCCACTTGTCCAAAATCCAATTCATAACCATACTTTGAACATCAGTCTCTTCTGGCTAGGACTGTATCATGTTGCACAGCAGTTTCAAATTCATTCTGGAGAGACAAATTGCTTCCAACTGGAAGTGGAAATGTGTTTCGTATTGTGCCTAGTTAGGACAGTGTAACTGACATACTTGCATCTATAGTGGCAGGCAAAAATAGGTAAGCAGATGATGGTACTACTTGTATAGTTTGATTTGATTAGTGGTACCAGTGAGTTACTACAAATCTGTTCAACTACATTACCTGCATATGTGTATTACAAACTACCATGCCATTTAACAGATAATAGAAGGATTTACAGTCAACCAATGCATTCACATACAGTAATGACAACAGAATGGCACAGTTGAGTGGGATGAAAAAAACATTACATTCTTCCTCAAAATGCCTCGAGGCATGAACAAAAAACGTTCATCATGTTATGGGTTTCCTGTTAATTTATTATTGGAAAGTTAACCAGTATTAAAGAGTTGTTTCAGAATTTGAATTCAATAACACACAGTCTGCAAGTCATTATTTGGTCAGTCCATGGGAAAATGCACAACAATAAAGGCAAAACACAAAAAAAACAGTCCAGTCCTTCAAAACAACACATATTTGAATATCAGTGCATTACAGAAAGTGGAAAATACTTGCCACATTCTTAGACATCAATTTTCAGTAGTTGGATTGTAGTGTCTGTGTTTCTGTGACACTTGGTCACACTCTCAAAGAGGTGGTGTAAACTGAGACGACTTAACATCACTCTCTTCCATGTATATTTATATATTTATCCCAGATGCCTGATCCATGCAGTTCCTTTGAGAAACGTTCACGTGACAGCAAACTAAAAACACAGCAGAAAAAAAAGTCTTTGATTTTGATACTTACAAAAAAACCCTCAAAAAAACATAAAAAGGTGGCTAATCTTTGCTTATGTGACTCACAAAACAAAACATAAAAAGGTGGCTAATCCATCTGTCTTGGAAGCTCACTTGTTCAACAAAAGTTCACAACAACAGTCACTTGGCATCGAGTCGTTCCAGGGCTGAAAAGCATCTTTAAACTCCATCAGATGCTGTTTAGAGTCCTGATTCTCTCAGCTGCTTAATATGGACATTTCAGGCATCAGACCTGCTCTCGGCAGTCAGGTCAGCAGTGGCACTCCTCTTATGCGACGAACGAGGTTGGCCAACCGTTTGGCGAGCGGTGGACTCGGTTCATCCACCTGGAACGTGCGGGTCAGCAAGTTGTAAAAGGAGCCGTAGCCGACCGCGACCACTGTGCAGGTGAGGCAGATGACGTTGTAGGGCATGCTGAAGTCAGGCGTGGGTAGATTTACCAGCAGGGGTTCGGTGTACACTCGCACAAAGTAGCTCGATTCTTCTTTAACTGGGACACTGGAAGTCAGAAGAGAAAATGTTACGATGAACCAAAACAAATAAATCACACTTATTTACTATTAACCAGTTTATACTTACAAACTGCTAAACAACGGTTGGTCTTGTGTGAAGTTGGTGTTCATTGCAACCATACTTGGCACAAGGGCGCTGACCACAGAGGACCTGCAGTAACATTTATGGCACATCATCAGTCAGATATAGGGAGTGGCAGACAGGATGTGTAACAAATTCTTACAACAATAATGAAATTTTATCATATATATCTGAAAAAAAATGGATCTTTCACAATACTTAAGCAAGAGTCTTACCCAACGTAGAAGCCGTGGTTGGGATCAGGGGTGTACTCGGTCCATTTGAGCAGGGCCCTTTCAAACTGTACCGTGACCTCTGTCATCGAGTGAGGCGGTAACTGGATCAGCATCTCCAGTAGATGAGGACGATGGCGGTCTTTAGCGGGCTGGTAGTGAATGTAACCTACAGGACAAGGAACAAATGTCTATAAACTCTTTATGCCCCTGAACATGAACCAGACTTTTTTCTGTCCACTAAGGATGATTAAAAAAAAAGGGAAAAAAAGGATAGTTTCTAATAGCTTTAAACTTTATTATTGTGCCTTTACATTTTTTTTACTTCCTCATTTTAAAGAATGTTGAAACTACATTTCCCTACTCAGACGTTCCCTATCAAAAGCTACTCTCAATGATGCGCCAAGTTGCGCTATGAAGAAAACATCTTTGTTGTGAATCTGGAGAGGTTATCTCGATTGGCACATCAATTGCCTTGAATTGATGGCTGTATTTCTGACCCTGAAGTACTTCCTCCAACAGTTAAGGGGCTACCATGTCCTAGTGCGGGTGGACAACACTTCGGTAGACACATAAATCGCCAAGGAGGACTGCATTTGCGCAGGTTCTGCTTTGGACTCAGGACAAGTTTGTGTCCATCAGGGCGATTTACATCCCTGGGCTGTGACACAATGGGAATGGAAATGCCACCCCGAGGTAGTCAAACAGATTTGGGAAGAATTTTATGAAGTAGAAGAGGACCTCTTCACTTCACAGGAAACAGCGCAATGTCCCCTCTAGTTATCTCTGAATCAGCCAGCCCCCCAACAAAAAACAAAACAAAAAAAAAGTAGCTAATCTTTGCTTGTGACTCACAAAACAAACAAAAAAACAATAAGGTGGCTAATCTTTGCTTGTGTGACTCACAAAACAAAACATACAAAAGGTGGCTAATCCACCTGTCTTGGAAGCTCACTTGTTCAACAAAAAACGCCATTGCGTGGGCTGGACGCCATTGCCCATGCATGGCCAAGACTGCTTCTTTATGCATTTGCACTGATTGCTCTGTTCCCGGGAGTCCTGGCCATGGTCCGTCAACAAGGATCTTGACTCTTATTGATGAAACAGGAGGTACCTTCTGTCTCAGACACAAGGAACAATATTTCATTCCCGGCCCAAGCTTTGGAACCTTCACGTTTGGCCCCTGAGGGGGACCAACCGAGGGATGCTGGGCTTCCAGCTGATGTCGTAAAGACAATTCTGGGTACCAGGGCTCCCTCCACAAGAAGGATCTATGCCCTTAAATGGGATGTCTTTGAAAGGTGGTGTCCCGCACACTGTGCAGACCCAGTTCACTCCCAGATTGTTTCAGTGCTGGATTTTCTGCAGGAAAAATTATCAGCATGCCCCGCTACTCTCGGCACACTCTATTTGTGGCCGGCTTATTGGCTTGTCAGTTGTCACACCCTGATTGATGGGGCTCCAGCCGTTAAGCACCCTCTGATCGCCCGCCTCATCTGCGGAGCAAGGCGGCTGAACCCTCCCATTAGAGCAAAGATTCCTTCGTGGGACTTGGCCATGGTCCTTGAGGAGCTAGTCAAGACCCCTTTTTGAACCACTAGAGTTAGCGCCTGACAAGCTTCTGACTGTAAAGATGTTTTTTTCTTATGGCCATTATTTTGCTAAAGATAATTGGGGATTTGGAGGCTCTGTTAATTTCACCATCCTGCTTAGGACTCTGCCCCTGGACTGGTCAAAGCTATTTTGCACCATTCTTTACCATGCATCCAGTCGTTATTGAAGCCTACTGTCTTCCTCCGTTCACTTCACTGGAGCAGGAGAAACTTCACCTACTGTGTCCAGTTTGTGCTCTTCAGACTTACATTGACTTACACTACTGGCTAGTGAAGTGGGAGCAACTTTTCATTTGCTATGGGGCAGAGATGGCCACCACCAAAAGCAAACAATGTCATACTGGGTGTGGGATACTATTGTTCTAGCCCAGTGGTTCCCAAACTTTTTAGAGTGGCCTATCCCTGAGGGGTTTACCATCCTTCTGCGTACCCCCTCACTTGATGGTAAAAACGAAGTGATACTTTTAAACATTAAACTAAAACCACCAGTAGGTCGCGCGGTAAGTCACTGCCTTAATGAGCGAGTCATTCATTCATTCAGTAATGAAGCAACTAGCCGATTTCTGAATGAATCATTGAATGATTGACTCCCGATTCGTTCAAAGCTGCAGATTTGTTTACGAAACACTGATGTGTGCTGTAGTTTTGCTGTGTCCTTCGTTGGAACTATTATTTCGTTGCAAAATAGAGTAAATACTGACAGTACTGTGTTTAAAATGCACGTTTTGTTTGTTGAACTGTTGTATAATAATCAATGTCACGTTTGCAATCGTGTGGATATTTGGGAACAATTGCATTCTTGTCGTTATCAACATTAAATACAAGAACTCACACAGGGTATGTTTTTGTATCAAAGAAAGTTTGAGTCTTAAATCGATCTCAATCCACTCTGTCTCTATATTTGTTCTTCATGTCAGTACGTACTAAATCCCCACTTTTACAAAGGTGCATTGTCGAGAACGACAGTAATGTAGGGCGATTTGCTAAGGCAGCAATACTCTGCACGCAATCTGTCATATGCACACTGCTTGTGTGGATGCAGTCAGTTTTCACTGCAAAAGATGAGGTCATTTGATTGGATGTCACGCATTTACGGCATTTTGCCAGTTAGAAATACATGCTCGGTTTTTATATTATTTTAAGGTAGGGTAGAATTAAATGAACGGCAAGACTCAGCATTTTGTATGCGTACCCCCTTCTGTCACCTCACGTACCCCAGTTTGGGAACCACTGCTCTAGCCTATGAGGCGCGTGGTCAAGCTTTGCCTTTTGGAGTCAGGGCTTATTCCACCAGGGGGGTTGCATCCTCCAGGCCTTTGGTAAGAGGCGCCCCCTTGCAACAAGTATGTGATACAGCAGGCTGGTCCTCTACGCACACATTTATCAGATTTTATAGTGTGGATGCTCAAGTTACTACGGGCTCACATGCCCTTGAGCCGACATCCCAAGCTCATGTCTCGTGTTTGTGCGCACACACTACACAACCTTGAGGGGTCCAGACACTTCCAGTGTGGTAGCGTTGGTATTCTCGTTCCCATAGCGCTAACTCAGTGCAGCATGGAGAGTAGCTTTTGATAGGAAACATCTCGGGTTACTTGACTGTAACCCTGTTCCCTGAAAAAGCAGTCTCTTCAGACAAAGTGACCTGAAAGCGCACCTGTTTAACGTCTATTTATATCTCACAAGCGCACATTTCAATGACGTCAGAGGTTATTTAAAGTTCTTGCCGTGTTTGCCAAACATACTTCACAACCGGTTAAACAAAGATGGTTTCCCATAGCGCTAACTCAGTGCAGCATCTCGTTCCCGCTTTTTCAGGGAACAGGGTTAGTCAAGTAACTTGAGATGTTTTAACTTCCCCACTACAATACATTTATAAAAAAAATAAAAAAACATTTTCTACATAAATTGCATAAGTTTATAAGTATATATGCTAATATACTGTATGTTTTTGAAAGAAGTCTCACCAAGGCTGCATTTATTTGAAAAAAAAAAAAAAAACAGTAATACCGTGAAATTATTTATATATATATATATATATATATATATATATATATATATATATATATATATATTAGGGCTGTGAAATAATTAATCGCATCCAAAATAAAAGGTTGTGTTTACATAATATGCGTTTACTGTGTATAATTATTTAATACCTCTGACGTCATTATTTAATACATATACATTCACCGGCCACTTTATTAGGTACCCCATGCTAGTAACAGGTTGGACCCCCTTTTGCCTTCAGAACTGCCTCAATTCTTCGTGGCATAGATTCAACAAGGTGCTGGAAGCATTCCTCAGGGAGTTTGGTCCATATTGACATGATGGCATCACACAGTTGCCGCAGATTTGTCGGCTGCACATCCATGATGCGAATCTCCCGTTCCACCACATCCCAAAGATGCTCTATTGGGTTGAGATCTGGTGACTGTGGAGGCCATTTTAGTACAGTGAACTCATTGTCATGTTCAAGAAACCAATTTGAAATGATTAGAGCTTTGTGACATGGTGGAAGTAGCCATCAGAGGATGGGTACATGGTGGCCATAAAGGGATGGACATGGTCAGAAACAATGCTCAGGTAGGCCGTGGCATTTAAACGATGCCCAATTGGCACTAAGGGGCCTAAAGTGTGCCAGGAAAACACCCCCCACACCATTACACCACCACCACCAGCCTGCACAGTGGTAACAAGGCGTGATGGTTCCATGTTCTCATTCTGTTTACGCCAAATTCTGACTCTAACATCTGAATGTCTCAACAGAAATCGAGACTCATCAGACCAGGCAACATTTTTCCAGTCTTCAACTGTTCAATTTTGGTGAGCTCTTGCAAATTGTAGCCTCTTTTTCCTATTTGTAGTGGAGATGAGTGGTACCCGGTGGAGTCTTCTGCTGTTGTAGCCCATCCGCCTCAAGGTTGTGCGTGTTGTGGCTTCACAAATGCTTTGCTGCATACCTCGGTTGTAACGAGTGGTTATTTCAGTCACTGTTGCCCTTCTATCAGCTCGAACCAGTCTGGCCATTCTCCTCTGACCTCTGGCATCAACAAGGCATTTCCGCCCACAGAACTGCCGCTCACTGGATGTTTTTTCTTTTTCGGACCATTCTCTGTAAATCCTAGAGATGGTTGTGCGTGAAAATCCCAGTAGATTAGCAGTTTCTGAAATACTCAGACCAGCCCTTCTGGCACCAACAATCATGCCACGTTCAAAGTCACTCAAATCACCTTTCTTCCCCATACTGATGCTCGGTTTGAACTGCAGGAGATTGTCTTGACCATGTCTACATGCCTAAATGCACTGAGTTGCCGCCATGTGATTGGCTGCTTAGAAATTAAGTGTTAACGAGCAGTTGGACAGGTGTACCTAATAAAGTGGCCGGTGAGTGTATATATATATATATATATATATATATATTATACACATGCACGCATGTATATTTAAGAAAAATGTGTTATGTATAAAATATTTATATATAATATAAATTATATATAAATACAGTATATACATGCAAATATTTATTAAATAAATGCATGCATGTGTGTGTATTTATATATACAAATAATTATACACAGTACACACACATATATGTAAACACAAACTTTTAATCACGATTAGCCCTAATATATATTTTATATATATACGTATAAATGCTGACTAAATTTATATTATAGTACATTTAAAGAAGATTCAAGTGCCCATAATTGAAAAACTGCCCCAAAACTAGCAATAAATATATACAAACAATACATAAAATTTGGAATCCAAGATAATTGTAGAATAAACTCACTGGGTTTGTTATCACGGGACTTGCTGGTGACTGTCAGGGTGTGAATGTACAGCTGCAGATACCAGGGCACTGAATCCATCAGCAGTACAGGAAAAGCCCGATATGGGTGGTTATTATGGATGACTGTGTGAATTTCCCCTGTCTGCAGCCCAAAACCAGCCACGTACCGCTCTGCATGAAGCAGAGGACGCAGCATATCACCTAAAGCACAACCAGAGATTTAAAGAGTCACATATAAAAATGAGTATGTTCCAAAGTACATTTGATTGTTACCGTGTAACGATAACCTAAATAGTTCCAGTTATTTTTAGCTTTTATATTTTTAAACAATAATAATGCTGAAACCATCATAGTTTTACAATGGCTATCATAGGGCAATCAGGATAAAGTCCATCACATGGACACCATCTATTAAACTAACTCATTCATACCGCTGTCCCCTTTCCAGCGCAGTAGGAGATTGAGTGACCGTAACTGGCCGAACGTCTCAGCTCTGGTCAGGTCATATACCGAATATGTCCTGCGATCCCCCAGCACTACAGCTTGGCTGAGCAGAGGAGTGGCAGGACTCAACTCAAACAGCTCCCCCTGTTGGACAAACAGCATAACGCTCAAACAAACTGACTGAAAACTACAGTGGAAAATTATCTAATCACAAATCATCACAAAGCAGCAGATAGAAAGTATTTGTCTTTGTTTCACCTCAGGGTTGTCTGTGATGTCCACATAGACTTTACTAGAAGAAGCAAGAGGACATGCCTCTGTCAGTGTTCGAGAAAACATCTTAAACAGGGACCACTCTGTCAAAAGATGATAGTAAATAGGAATGAATATGCAGATGGATAGAGCATAGTATTTGCTTCAGGTGTGTAACTGCAAAAATAATGTATGGGGTGCACCAAAGCTTATACAAAGTCTAGGCCTTTTCTATGCTTTTATGACACTTATATTTAGATTTCCTCTTATTTTTTATTCATGAGATTTAGGCAATATTGCAATTAAACCTGTGAAACTCATGTAAACAACACTTCAATCAAATTGATGCGATTAAGCTTATAGCAACCATAATCATTGTAAAAAAAGGCATATGCTGATTTGTGCAATATTCAGACATGTAAACACTTTAAATCACATTCCACAATGACCAAAGTGCACAAGCATTTTTTTTGGGCTGGTGAAGAAACGGAGTTCATGTTGACAACATGAAGATAATGCAGAATATTGATGGTCGAAAACATTGAAATGGAGACATTTTATCAAAGAATCAACAAACAAAGCTTGGCCAGTAACACATCTACTGTATGTGCTGTGCATTGGGCTATGTGAATAATGGTGGCACAAACAACCAAATTTCTTAGAGAAAAATCGCATGTAAACAGGAGTGAAAGGTTTTGCTTTTGACATGTAAACCTCTTACTGCGATTAAGTCCTTCTTTACTCTGATTAATGGAAATAAATAATCACATTATTGGTGCACAAGTAAATGTAGTCTTTTCAAACAGGTTTCTCATACCGAGCAATATTTCAAAAGCGGCAGAGAGACAGTTTTTACACACTTCTGCTTAAACACCCAACGAATGGCTTACTTATAGTGGCCGCACTGAAAGGAAAGGAGATATTCTTCTAACATCAAACATTCATTACTCACCCTTTTTGCCTTGGCCTGAAGTGTAGAGATCAAACACAACATTGAGAGTTTGTCTCAGCTCCCATGCTTTACTTGTGCATTGCTCATCCTAAGAGAGAAAATCTGGAGGGTCATTAGGAGCGTCAATGTACAGACTGTACATTGTCTGTACAATTTTCCAGACAATGTACAGACTGTGCCAGAACATAATTTCTGTTTTTTAAAGAAAGCTTTAAAAAGACCCTTACCTGACAGACAGGTCTGATGTGAACTGCCTGAGAGTGGAAACTGCTGTGAAACAGCTTCTCTGACTTCATAAGAACAGCCAGACCTGCCTGCAGAAAAGAAAAAAAGGCATAAATCAATGCATTTAATGCCTTCTTTTAAATGACAAGTTATTAAAATCACATGCAATGATCTGAACCTTAGAACCACAAGGGAGAAGTTTCTTCCAGGGTGTCAGATTCTCAGTGCACACGATTTCACGTGGTAATGTGGCATATCGTAGAAAACGGTGATCTGTAGCTGTTTAGACAAAAAAATATAAATATCAAGTACATAAACGTTAATTTGTTGCTTTAAAAATATAGTGTGAGCTTTCAGGTTGAATTTAAATAAAGATAAATCTCCTGCTGATGTGACATTGACTGAAACTTAAAGGTCAAATAATTAAAGTTGCAAAGTGACGCATTTTCTTCCGTATTGTGACGTACAAAGTAAAAATTAATTATTGGGAAAAATTAGGGCAGGGACTTGGATCTGTCCATCTGTTGTTGATTCGATGGAGGCAGACCTCCAAAAAGGAACATGCGTGGATGAATCTCACATAATAAGATCGATAACATGCATTTAAAAATGATTAACATTGTCAGTGTGAACACTTCTCTATAATGAACTAAAAGGGCCATACCATTCCCCAGACCCAGCGGTTTAAAAGAAGCACTGGGCTGTACTGTGTTGGTCAGGTCAATGAAGTTCAGAGACGCACAGAAGATTCCAGAGAGGACGTTGGTAAGCTCCTTCCAGTTTCCATCCACACTGAGAATTCAACAAAAGTCAGTGGACTGTTAATCTATTTTGGGGTTACATTCTATTCTGTTCAAATTGCAGAATAAATATAATATGCTTAAAATCAGGGATACTTTATGATGATTTTCACAACTGATTAAAGCACATATATAACTACTCACTCGCTGACTGTGTGATGGAACCAGACCCACAGCTCTGCTCCAGGTGGAGAGGGGATGAAGGGCTGCCCCCACTGCATGGTCCTCCAGAAGCCCTGCGTGAAGGAGATGTGCAGCTCTCGCACTGAAAACTTGGACAGCACTTGGCCGAGGGATTTGGGGAACAGCCGGTAGTGAGAAACTGTAGGCAAAAAAGACAAATCATGAAAACAAATGTTAAAAAGCCCCTATTATGCTTTTTCAGATATTACCTTTCATAAAATGGGTAATGTGAATGTAAAAGATCTGCAAAGATCAAATTGCACGATAAATGGAGTTATTGTCTCTTAAAAGAAAGAACCGGATCAGAATACTTCCTGCAAGAACCTATGTAGGTTTGAAACAAATTTGCATAATTTCAGCCTATGGTCTTCACTGGCGAAAGCACATCCACTTTGCATGAACCTCCAAAGGATGAGAACTCAAAGGCTCGAATTTATACGATAAAACAGACACCATCATTACTGTTCATATCACTGACTGTGTATGCAGTGTTGTTTAAAAGGCATCCCACAATGCACCTTATGAAAATGGTTGAGAGAAGCTCCAAGTGTGCAGAGTTGTGGGTGCTACTTTACAATTTAATGAGACCATTTGGATTTATTTAACATTTTGGGGTCTCTACTTAATTTCATTACCTCCATTTGTGCTAGTTTATAGTTTTGATGACTTCACAATTATTTCAAAATGTGGAAGAGTAACAGTAATTTGTGTCCGTTTGACTGCTGCTGTACAAAGTAGCATTTGAAGGACAATTTAGGCCTACCTCTGGGTAAATTTCAAAGTTTAAGACGCATATGTGATCACGATTCAGATTGAGATACAACTGCAACAAAAGGAGAACGAGTTGGTGTGATAAAATTTTGAACAAAATCAAGCCAAAACAACGTTCATTTAAAGAGTTTGAAACATTTTTCCAATTCTGCATCTGCACAATTCTAATATACTTCCCCTTACAAATGATTGGTTTAGAAACAGTGACTGGATCTATCAGGAAGGGGGATCGACTACAAATACTACTACAAAAAGAGGCTTTTGGGATATTTAATGTAAAGTCGTCATGAAACGATAGTTTTTTCCCTAATGTGGTACATCTGAGTGAAACGGCTTCTTGAACAAGAAAAAAATGTAGGGTGGGACTTGATTTGGTCCTTCAGTAAATTGTTTGGATCATTGTGGTTTGCTATGCTGTGGCATTAAACACTGACAGGTATCTTTTTTTTTTTTTTATGTTGTACAAAAGCACATCTCAGAGTCTGTAATTTGGAGTATTTGTTGTGGTGTCAAACACCTGTGCCAGTAAACACGTCATCAGAGAAAAGAAGTCGTTGCAAGAGCAAAGGGAAGTTATTTTGATTCAAGGTTATGAGGCACATGAACATTGATGTGTGCAGAGATAAATCATTTATAATAAATACTGTAATATTCCAAATATTCATAAAAAAAGTGTCCTGGTTCCTTGTTCCTGGTTTAATTTAAGAACTAGATTTGACTTAATTTTTCTAAATCCATTTTCTTTTGTTTAAAAAAAAAACGTATTTTATTTATATATTCCATGTGTGTGTGTTTGTCCGTGTGTGTGTATTATGCTAGGATTTTTTGTGATGCACAGACAAATTCTTTAGGTGATGGGTCACTTCTAACAGCGATGATAACTCACCTTTCTGTCCCTCTTGCAGGAAGTCAGTATCCCATAGTGTGCGGAACTGGAAGCTGGCATAAATGTCCCCGGAGTGCAGGGGCCGGATGACCAGCTCCTCCTCAAACTGATCTTTCGCCGGTGCTAGTCTAAAAGATTCGCTGTCTTTCGTGCCATCGCTTCTGTCCAGCTCAACATCAGTCGACTGCCATTGCCTTTCATTCGTTTTCTCTCCAGCGATGCTTTCATCGGCATTCACTTCACGCAGAGCGTCTGATACGCTCTGTTTTTCTCCTGTATTATCGTTTGATTTTTCAAGCGTGTCACAGCTACTGGGGTGAGTTAAACTAAAAACAATCAAAATGATTACAGGAGACAAACCGCACCTGTGCGCTGCCATTTTTGCTATGGTTTCTCTCGCGGCAACACTTCCTGGATGTGGTTGACAGAACTGACCAATCAGCGAAGGGTATGTTGAAATTTGACCAATGGGAGAGAGGAATCTAATATTTGACCAACAGGAGAAGAGATTCTTCTGTTATGGTAAATTCCACGCAACAGTGCACATGATTATAATTAATTGTAAAGAAATAGCAGTATTATTCTAGATATCAGTAGTTATGTGAAGGAAGAAATGCTAGATTAACTTTATTGCTATTCAGCAATTTATTGCTATTCAGCAATTATGAATAATATAGCCTAGCTATTAATAATTTCGCAAGTAATGATGAATAATTCTTTGAAGAACGCTGCTAAGACTACATCAAGTTGGCTACATTATTTAATTTCAATGTAACTACACGTCTCTGCCTGCGGTGTCTCTCTTGGATGCTGTATCAAGATCCAGTCAGGATTCTATTTATTTGACTACTTTTGGTTTAAAATACTCGTTCAGGTTATTCAAGACATCATTCATCCGGACCAAACCGGCTTTATGAGAAACAGACAAAGCTTCTTAATCTTTAGAAGGCTGATGAACATAATTTATACCTCATCAGACTCATACATGCCAGAACCCCTGGTCTCTGTCGATGCAGAGAAGGTCTTCGACCGTGTTGAGTGGGACTATTTATTTTATACATAAAAAAAAAAATTGGGTTTGGTGATAAATTTGTGTCCTGGGTAAAACTCTTATATTCTTCCCCTTTGGCGTTGATAAAAACAAATGGTATTAGTTCTGAATATTTTTCTCTTCACCGTGGGACAAGCAAGGGTTGCCCCGTCCCCACTTTTGTTTGCTATGGCTATAGAACCTCTTGCAATCTCTTTTCGTAATAATGGCAATATCACTGGCATCCATAGAGCAGGAAAAGAACAGAAAATTTCCCTCTATGCTGATGACGTAGTGTTATATATCTCAGATCCAGAAACTTGTCTTCCACGTGTTTTGAGTATTTTAGGACAATTTGGTAGTGTCTCAGGTTATAAAATAAACTCTAAAGAGTTAGTTTTTTTTTTCCAATTAACACAGCCGCAAGAGCTCTTTTAGCATCAGCTCTTCCATTTAAATCAGCCTCAGATCATTTTCGTTACTTGGGAGTTACAGTAACACGGAAACATGTAGATCTCTTCAAAAATAACTTTATTCCAATCTTGGAGAGAGCAAAAGAGGATCTTGCTAGGTGGAAAACTCTCCCACTGCACTCGTAGGTAGAATTAATGTCATAAAAATGAATATTTTACCCAAATTTCTATTTCTATTTCAAAATATTCCAGTACCAAAAGCATTCTTTAAGTCACTAGATAGAGTGATTTCAGATTTTATTTGGAACGGAGGCCCAGTAAGAATCCAGAAATTATTCCTTCAGCAACCCAAAAAGATTAGGTGGATTCGCACTTCCTTATTTCTTATTTTATTACTGGGCAGCAAACATTCATAGCATTTTATATTGGAGTCAGTCACATTATGGCCTTTGTCATTTGGTTTCGGCATGGGTTGAAATAGAATGTGACTCTTGTAGCCGAGTCTCTTTACATTCTTTGTTATGTTCTTCTATTCCTATAAATTTTTCCCATTATTTTTCACACCCTTTAGTTCTGCACAGCCTAAAAATTTGGCAGCGTTGACCTCTTTCTGGACATCAATCTTCAAGTCAATTTCTGACGTTTTTATTTTAGATGTTGAACCGTGCCCTTTAGTGGCACTATTTGGTCTTAATCCCGCAAAGGTGTCCTTATCATCTCTACAGTCAAACGCTTTAGATTTTTGCTTAATAATTGCCAAAAGGCTTATACTGATGAACTGGAAAAATCCTCTTCCACCAAGCTACTTTCATTGGATGCATGACCTGTTGCAGTTTATTCAAATAGAAAAAAAAAATAGATTTACAATGATTGGCAGAACAGAACAATTTCACATGATTTGGCAACCTTTTCTTTTGTACTTTAAAAATAATCATTTTCTTATAAATTACCCTTTGTGTAACCATACTTTGACAACTTTGATACTTTGACAATTTTCAATCTGGTTTCCGATCGCATCACAGCACAGAGACAGCTCTCATAAAGATAATAAACGATATTCGCTTAAATACTGATACAGGGAAATTATCAGTGCTGGTACTACTCGACCTCAGTGCTGCATTTGACACTGTCCATCACGACATACTTCTTGACAGGCTGGAAAACTGGGTGGAGCTTTCTGGGATAGTCCTAAAATGGTTCAGGTCATACTTAGAAGGGAGAGGTTATTATGTGAGTATAGGAGACCATAAGTCTGAGTGGACATCCATGACTTGCGGAGTCCCTCAAGGCTCAATTCTTGCACCACTCTTATTCAACCTGTATATGCTCCCACTGAGCCAAATAATGAGAAAGAACCACATCTCTTACCACAACTATGCAGATGACACACAGCTCCACTTAGCCCTATCGCCTAACGACTACAGCCCCATTGACTCCCTGTGCCAATGCATTGATGAAGTAAACGGTTGGATGTGCCAAAACTTTCTTCAGTTAAACAAAGACAAAACTGAAGTCATTGTGTCTGGAAAACAAAGATGAAGTTCTCAAGGTAAATGCATACCTTGACGCTAGGGGTCTAACAACTAAAAATCAAGTCAGGAATCTTGTGTGTCTCTAGAGTCAGACCTTAGTTTCAGTAGTCATGTCAAAGCAATAACTAAATCAGCATACTATAATTTGAAAAATATTGCAAGAATTAGATGCTTTGTTTCCAGTCAAGACTTAGAGAAACTTGTTCATGCTTTTATCACCAGCAGGGTGGATTATTGTAATGGACTCCTCACTGGCCTTCCTAAAAAGACCATAAGACAGTTGCAGCTCATACAGAACGCTGCTGCCAGGATCCTGAGCAGGACCAGAAAATATGAACACATCACACCAGTCCTCAGGTCTCTACACTGGCTCCCAGTTACATTTAGGATTGATTTTAAAGTATTATTACTGGTATATAAATCATTCAATGGGCTAGGACCTCAATATATTGCAGATATGCTCACTGAATATAAACCCAACAGATCACTTAGATCATTAGGATCACATCAGCTAGAAATACCAAGGATTCACTCTAAGCAAGGAGAGTCTGTTTTTAGCTATTATGCCAGCCGCAGCTGGAACCAGCTTCCAGAAGAGATCAGATGTGCTCCTACAGTAGTCACATTCAAATCCAGACTCAAAACACATCTGTTTAGCTATGCATTTACTGAATGAGCACTGTGCCACTGTTCGTCCGACTGTTTTTACTGTACTTTATTTTATTTTTTATTCTAAACTGTTTTAATTATTTCCTCCTATGTAAAGCACTTTGAATTACCATTGTGTATGAAATGTGCTATATAAATAAACTTGCCTTGCCTTGCCTAACCACTCCTTTGCTTTTGACCCTTACTGTTTTTTCCCTCTCTCTCGTCCTTGTCTGATTAAGAAACAGAGTACATTAAAAAAGGAAAATAAATTGTATTTGGTTTTCTTGACAGCTGGCAGTGATTTAAAAAAGGTGCAAAGTTTGTTCTTTGAGTGTTTTTTTTGTTGTTGTTGTAAAATTTACAGTTTTTGCTGTATTTTATCTATATTGCTACCACACTGTACATGCATACTACATTAATATTATTCTTACTTGTATTGTTTTGTATGTTTGGAAGCAACCATTTATAATCCCCCAGTAAATTATAAAATTTATAATTTTACTTTCGTTTGTTTTTTGTTGTTGAATCAGAGAGTAAGAAATACCTCTGCTTAATTTCATCCGTATTTCTTGGTCTATATGTCGAAACAAACACTGTATTGTCTTTCTTTTATTATCTCTCTGATTGGAAAAACATCAATAAAAAGAGTTAAACTAAAATACTCGTTCAGATTCGTTCAGTGGCCCTTTCTGCAGTGGCCCTTACTGCATCAGTACCTTGTGACAATTGAGTGTCATATTGTGTTAATATAAATCATTTATGATGTTATGAATAATAATGTAGGTAGTTTTATTATTAATAATAATTTAGCAAATGAGACCTTAATTCCCTAGAAGAACGATGCTTAGTTAATTTCACTGTAAATACGACTCTGTCTGCATTGTTGCTCTTTGGATGCTGTTTCAAGAAAGATCCAGAGACGATGAATAATTCTTTGAAGAACGCTGACTATACATCAAGTAGCTAAGCCTACATTAGTTCATTTCAATGTAAAGTACACGTCTCTGCCTGCGGTGTCGCTCTTGAATGCTAGTAGGCTATCAAGATCCAGTCAGTGATTCAAATCCTTTCAATTCGTTTGCCTTAAAAGTTTAAGTCAGATTTGTTCAGTGGCCCTTTCTGTAGAGTTAAGGGCTGCATCAAAATTGCATACTTCACTATAGTAGGCGAAAAACACTATGTGACAAAAGAAGAATGCCCGAATTCACAGGCAGAAATTACCCCGATTACCTACTTCTTCCGGTGAGATTCTGAAGTGTGCATTCGATGTACACTACTATCCCATGAGGCCACGGGAGAGAGGATTTGTGAATGGCAGTCAAGCGATGCAAACTGATGCTGGGAGGTCACGTGATAATGACAACATGGCGAATGTAGTACATCTGGATTACATTCATACTACACACACACACTAGAACATACTTTTTAGCAGCTGTGAAGAAATTAATTATTCAAAATAAGTACCTACTCAAGAGAGTATGTGATTTCGGACACAGACAAGACTCGTTCACACCAAGGACGATAATAGGTGCAGGCATGACATATTTTTGTAGGCCAACCCGGAAGTTAGCATGGTTCCCTCAACAAAAACCCAATAGGGTTTTTCCATTGGCCTTTGGACTACTGTTCATTGTGATAATCTTCACAAATGAACTATTATGAATTTGGAACAATCTGCAGAAGTCGAAAACTAAACGTTGGCTATAAACTAATTACACCACCGTCGCATGGCTTCAACGTCGTCACAATCATCAATCTTTCGTCAAGTCTATGTTTAAAAACAGTTTCTCTG